GCGCCAACACTTGATAACTGAATAACCACAAAGCAACTTTTAACGGTCGAGATTTAGTCGACTAGAAAAGGAAAAAAGGAAAGAGAAAAAAGAAAAGGAGAGAATACATCTTTCTGGGTTGAGCTGTACACATACACGGCCATGGAGCGACCGAAGTCTTCGAACGGGCAAGCATCGCTGTTCCAGGTCTATCTGCGACTGCGCCCGCCAATCAGACATGATGCCAAACAAGAGAGCTTTTTGTGCATTGAGCCTCCGGAAGGCGATGAATCGTTCCCAACCCACATTACCGTCCAGCCACCAAACGATGCGAGAAAACGGGCGGTCGAGAAGTTCGCCTTTACGAAGGTGTTCGAGGAAGAAACTACACAGCTAGATGTCTTCCAGGAATCTGGCATGCCGTCTTTGATCAATGCTGTGCTTTTGGAGAACAGAGACAGTCTCGTCGCGACTCTGGGGGTTACGGGAAGTGGGAAGGTATGTCGCGATAGCCTCCTTGAGTTGGAATGTTTTGGTATTAACGGTATACGATATTAGAGCCATACGATCCTGGGATCCAAGACGCAGCGCGGTATAACACAGATGTCCCTCGATATTATCTTTAGGTCCCTCGAGTCAACGATACAGATCCCAGATGACGACGCAGAAGTTCCCCTCCTCGACTCCATCGCCGCATCAGACTCGTCGGAAGCCCAGCTCTACTCCGCAGAGCACTTTCTTGAAATCATCTATGGTGATGGAGATCGCGGTCGAATCTCGAGAGCGCAGACCCCGATGTCTAGATCTCAGACGCCCATGGTAGGCCACTCATCTCAGCCCATCATCTCAGCACTATGGCAGAAAAACATACATATATCAAACACATCACACCCAGCGCCTGAGAAGGCGTATCGGGAAGCGCAGACATCCCCTTTTATCACACAGCCGTTGGGCTACAAAGAGCCCAGCTATAACACTCCACGGAGCTCATGCAGATCATCAAATCTTCCCTCTCAACTTCCATTTTGGAATAGAAATAATATTGCAAGGAATTTTACTAAAGTACGTCTCAAGGATTCGTTCATAGGAAGCAGTTCGCGCCGTCCACATCTTCCTCGAGTAAGCATCTTGCCTCAGGACCCTGACACGAGCGATATCAAAATTCCCGTCCTCGAAACCGACCAGCACGTAGTCCTGATATCCATGTACGAGGTGTATAACGACAGAATCTTCGACCTCCTCTCTCCAGCCAGTCAAGTTAACGGAACGAGAGCTGCCAATAATCAAAAGGACCGTCGACGACCGTTACTTTTCAAATCAACCGAGGGATCAGCCGATCGCAAAGTGGTTGCCGGTTTGCGGAAAGTTGTTTGCTCAACATATGAAGAAGCGCTAATGGTCCTTGAAACGGGACTGACTGAACGAAGAGTCACAGGCACAGAAAGTAACAGTGTGAGCTCTAGGAGTCATGGATTCTTTTGTGTTGAAGTGAAGAGGAAGGTCAGAGATAGGAGACATGGCCACGAAATCTGGGTTGGAAACGCCTTTACCATTGTTGATCTTGCAGGTACGTCCTTTTTTTCATGAGAACAGATATTTAGATACTTGCTTACCTTTGTTTTATATAGGCTCTGAGCGAGCAAGAAACGCAAAAACTGCGGGAGCAACGCTCGCAGAAGCAGGTAAAATAAACGAGAGTCTGATGTACCTTGGCCAATGTCTGCAGATGCAATCCGATCTCCAGGATGGGAATAAGGTAACCCTTCATCCTTTCCTGTATATCAAGTATAGAATTAATCTAACGCTGATGGATAGGCACTCGTACCATTCAGGCAATGTAAGCTCACAGAGCTCCTATTTTCAAATTCATTCCCATCATCAAATCATACATCATCGAATTCGCACCCAAGGAACACCCAAAGAGCCGTCATGCTAGTAATGGCTGACCCCCTCGGGGATTTCAACGCTACTTCACAAATGCTGCGATATTCTGCGCTAGCTAGGGAGGTTACCGTTCCAAGAATCCCATCTATAACTAGCACGATATTATCGACAACCCCGGCCCCGACAGGGCCAAAACCTGCTACTGTCAGCAAATCCCAAGCTGCTCTTGAGGAACAGCTAGAACTCGCAGCCTTAGAAATTGCTCACATAAGTGATGAATATGATGCACTGGCTGTCAGATTTTCTCAGGAAGAGGTTGAGAGGATCGAGGCAGAGTTGAAATTGAAAGCTGCCGAAGAGAGATGTCTGCTTATCGAGCAAGAAGTTCGCGAGGATTGCTGGGCCGAGATGGAAGAGCGTATGGAGAAAGAGAGGAGAAGATGGCAAGCAGCTCTGGAAGAAGAGGTAAGTAACCAATGCTCCCGGTTCTTTGACCAACTCATGCTAATAAACTCATGCTAATATTTATATTTTAGTCGTCTCGAAATGAGAATCATCTCGACATGAAACTTGATCTTCTCTCCCGAGGTATTAAAAGTGAGTTCATAAAAGCCCTATATCGTCGTCTAGGACTAGAACTAACGTCTCTCAAGTACATGAAGATCCTAAACCTGATTCTGTCGAAAGAATAAACGAGTTAGAAGCCGAAAATGATGCATTACGACGCAAAATTGAACTACTTGAAAGAGAACTTCTCTCTAGATCTCCAACAAAGAAAACTAGGTCCAAGAAGAACACTATACCCGGCCGGTTCGATTCCATGGATTACAGCTTTACCCCTGCTAACGAAAGCGATATTGAGAATTCACAGCTAGATATGAAGAAGTTCAACATGAAATCCAGCCCCCTTGCACAGACCGGGAAACCAAAAAAACTGACTACTAGACAATGGGATCTTGCTCCTGAAGGCACATACGACTAGACTAGACTTGCTTTTTACTCCTGGGATTTAACGACTTACGACTGTTAATTTGTTTCTAAGTATATCCCTTTTGCAGCATTACTTTTTTTAATATGGATTCTTGGAAATATTGATAAACAGGGGCGCAACTCTATGCGGTTACATACATAGGTGAATAGCTATGGTTTACTAAAACCTGCAGAACTGTTTAATAATCGATAATAGTGAATATACTTGATATTACATCCGACCCGATTTAGCTCCATCTATATTCTACTATATAGTTTATTAAAGCTATAGAATGCTACAAAGGAGCTGATATAATATAAACGATAGCATATGAAGAACGCTATTCCCATCCGAAAATAAATGACCGGTATATAATACAGTTCGTATAAATAAACTCTGTTCAGTCTTCCTGTTGTTCCTCCGTGTCCGATCCCTCTGCTGCCTCTACAGTCTCCGCATCTATCTCCATTTTAGTGTCCTGTACGGAAGGAGTAGGAATCGAGTCGTTATCACCGCCATCAGCGCTGACGACGGTCGATAATTCAGATCCTGCCTTTGGTGATGACATGCGAGCCCTGAGGAGATTCTGGAACATTGGACTTGAAGGTTTCATAGCATCTCCCGAGGCCGTTTCCGTTTCGATATCGCTGAGCCCGCTCTCGATTTCCGTAGTGTCGTGTACACTATGGTCTGGGACAGATGCTTCCTTATCCTCACAATTATCACCATCCTTTTCCTCCTCCTCGTTGTTGTCTTCTCTTTCTTCATTATCATCCCCTTCCTTTTCCTCTTCCTCGTTATTCTCCTCTTTCTCTTCTTCGTCCTTCCTATCCTTGTCTTCCTCATTATTGTCTTTATCTTTATCCTCCTTGTTATCAACCTGAGCTGGATCAGCTGCAGTATCATTGCCTGTTTGCTGATCAGTAGATTGCTGCTCTGTCTGTGCTTGTTTGGCCTCGTCTTCAGCAGGTTTTGCAGGTTTGGGGGCAGGACGTGGCGCTTTTGCGGCAATGGCGTCGGATTTTTTCTGCACCTCTTTCCGTGTTACCCCTTTGGCACGAAGCCTAGGTGCTGGTGCCTGAACAGAAGTCAAAGCTGGCGGTGTTTCAGTTCCATCGGCTGATTCACCTGGCATAAGCAAATGATCTACCTTCATTCGCTCTCGATTCTCCTCCCCAGCAACTTGCTCGACAAACTGTGGTAATGTCTTTTCATATAACTGGGCATATATATCGGCAACGAGGTCATCAAACATGCCAGACTTTATAATTGTTCCATTCAATTTTTTCAGCTCCACTGCATCCCGCAGCAATTCAATTGTGGGAATATCTTCCTTGGCTGGGTTTTGGCACCAAGTATCTAGACGGCCGGAGTAAAGGGTAAAGTCATCGAGGCTGACCCCTTTGAAAATAGTATCTTCTTTCCCTTCCGGTATGTTGCCTGCACGGCGGAGTAACTATATGGATGTTAGCAAGTATAATGATTAAAAGCGCAAGGGCCCGTTTAAATACCTTGATATATGTGGCGCACGTATCTTCCCAGAGCTTAGGGAAGTTCAAATAATCGTTAACCTTTCGCCTCACACGACGGACTAACATATCTAGGTTCGCACGGTCATCAAGTTGATCCAATAACTGCACAAAAAAGTAAACATATCGAGTAGTATAGACGAAATGTCGTCCAGCTCTTTCATTTTCCGGTCGCCAGACCTGTACAGTCATGGTCTTGGTGAAAATATGCTGGGTAAGATCATTCTTCGCTGCAATTGCAGCTTCTCTATCCTTTGAGTCGTCATAGATAATATGGGCAGCCTATGGCAAGATTAGCACTAGCCTATGTAAACATCTATTGATTGAACAAACCCTTGCAACAATACGGTGATGCCAATTAGACTTATCAGCATTCTGCAATTGCTTTAGTACGCCTAAAATGAATGGTTTCCAGGATTCCATATCTGTTGCTAGTGATAGCCCTCGGGCCCATGGAGTGGCAAGTAGCTTCTCACTGGCATCCTTTGGCTTTTGCAGTTTTTAGTCAATAGTCCTGATATCTGCTCGGAATGTATTATTTAGACTTACCTCTAGATCACCTCGCCGGACAAGCTTGTGGGTGAGTGAAACAAGTTTAAAGTGTGGTTCTAATATCGGCTCAGACGATCGGCCGTCTTTCTTCTTGGGAAGAACATCAATAGCATCCGTCAATGAATCCAAAATGTCTGCAGGTTCGATCGGCTTATATCGCTCCTTTAGTGGATCATTACTGCAGTACATCTTCCACAGGCATTTGCTGAACATATAATGGTTTCTAGAGAGAATGATTAATATCGTGCAACGAACATGTAGAATAATAACTTACCTCCAATTCATTGGGCGGTCCTTCATTGCTCTGTGGAAGAGATAACTAGCAAAGTACCAAGCAGAGAATGGTTTCATGGCACTAAACGGCTTCCCTTCATACATTCTCTGATCTGCGCCGCTGCTAAAGTGTCTCATGAATGCAGTTACATCAAAGGCACCCATGGACAGCGGATCTCTGGTGGATGCATAGACTCGAAGACCAAACTCTGTATATAAGTCGGATATCTGCTTCTTTTCGTCAGGTTTCAAGTCAGCTGTTTGGACTGCGGTTGCAACAGCCATAGAATATGCGTGGATGGCCCTTCGCTCCACAGTTGCAAGATCCTCCCGGTCGTTGTTAATTTTTTCCGCAGACCAAGCGATTTCTTCCTCAAGCCGTAGATCATAAACTTGGGCAAGCTGATACCATGATTCCCATCGATCCTTTCCGTGTTCCAAGTCATGACGGAAGAGTGTAGCAGCAAGGTCCAAATCCTCAGTCGGGGTAGGACCAACCTTCTTTTGAGCTCGAAATTTGGCGAGAGCTGCTGATCCGAGGAAGGTAAACCAGCCTTTGTCGGCAAGATCAGAACTCTTTGAATAAACCGGAATCATAGATAGTCCACTGACTCCTTGCACAGAGCGGAAAAGCTCTAGGGGATTTATTGGAGTTTTCAAAAACTTTGATAAAATTCTCTTGTTGAGAGGGGTGGCTAGCTCTGACTTGCCCATCAGTCCTATTTGTCTTTGCAGCGCATCAACTGTCGTTTTCAAATCAGATTTCAGGTAATCTTTGATATCTATTCGTTTCGTTTGGGTAAGAGTAAAATCAACTAATTTTAGAGCTATTTCCTGATCAAGAGTCTCATATGGGCAGCCATGATCAAACGAAACATCCAAATGCGGTGAAAACTTGAACTTGTATAGGTCGTATAGTACTTGCGCAAGATCATCTTCGTAAACGTCGTCGGTTTTAAGCGTCAAAAGTTCATCTCTCATGAGTTTAACGAACAGGTTTTTCGGGTATTTGCAATATGAACGGAGTCCAAGTGCATTGTGAATCGAGCGTAAGAAGTGTATGCGGTCATCCAAAGGGGTATCAAACAATTCATTATTCTGATTAATACCCTCTCTTAAAAGGGTATACTGTACAATCCATATCTCACAAACAGCTGCGTAGTTATCCTGACTGCTCTAGGGACTTCGCAGTTGATGCAGGGCGAATATCGGCAGGTGTAATCTGGCCAACACGAACCCCATCCTCGTAAAGGGCAAAAGACTGGAGAATTCTAGATAGACGGGCGAGAGAGGACATAGAAATCTGGAGATGGTTCCAGTCGAAACATTCAAAAGAAACTTCTGGTTTGTTAACCACTCTTCTCATCACACTGGTAAGTATATCATCTGACAATTTTAGCCATTTAAGCAGGCTAGACCGCCGTTCATTGACTGGAAGTTGGGTGCGTGCAGGGCGGTTCAGTTCCTGAACAACTGCTTCTAGACTTCGAAGATGGCAGGAGACGACCTTTGTTGGATAGTCAATGGAGTCATAGGCTTCGCGAAGACGGCGCCACAAAAACAATTTAAGAGTCGCATCACCCTGATTCAGGAAGTCGATCAAGTTCTGGGTCGTTGTTGACGGCTTAGCCTCTTCAGATATATTACCATTTTCATCCGTATACCGTACCGCAGACGGGTCTAAAACAGGCTCGATGGTTTCAATCAGATGTACCAGGTCATCATTTCCGGAGCCAAAAATGTCGGTAAAGAAACTCATCGCCCGAAGACGAGATACCTCTTGGTCAATTGCGGCGGTTGAAATTTCTGGCATTGTGTTATTATTCACCAAGGTTATAACCGGGTCTCCTAATGACACTAAAGCACGTCGAATATCACCGAGGCAGAGTAAAACATAGTCTCCCTTTTGATCATCTAACATATTTTCGTGGAAAGTGGTGGCCCATAGATGTCGTAATACCATCGCAGTTTGTCGATGGTCCACGATACAAAGATCGAGGTAGTAGCTAATGTAGCCGTGTGTGAGTGACCTCCATCGGCTTAGCCTATCTTGCTGAAGGATGGCGGCATCCTGGTTCTTCTCGTTTTGGCAGACAATCGAGTCATATATGTCCAGATGCAATTCATAGATGCTCTGTGACATCTCCACGGCAATAAGATCATCTGGTGTGAATGAATAAGGCGTTTCATGGGCACTCGAGAGGATCTTTCTCTCAAGGTTTAGAGCAAATTCCCTCAGTCTGCTATAGACAAATCCATCTAATCGAAGTAGTATTTGAGTAAGGGTATCTCGTGCACTTTGGCACATCTGCTGAGTTGCATAAATAGAGTCCGTCACAGTAGATATATCATGCCCAAGAGACTGTAGGTCCGGCTTAAGGTACTTTTCAAGCCACTTGAAAGCCACCTCTTGCATGGTTAGGTTGCTAGCGTTAATATTATTTGCAAATTGCTCCAAACCTTGGTCATCGACCAGATCCCCTTCCCGTTCCGCCTTTGCGCCAACTTGTTTGGAATGCTCAAGGAAGACACTAAGGCCGGACTTCTTCACGCCTTTTAACCCATCCTGGGTGTCCGCAAATATATCGCTGTGTAGTGCCACTTTACTAAGTCCATCATTCCAGTTCTCAATTATGTGCCTCAAGTCATGTACAGCCAGAGATTCGGGTGAGCTTTCCGTAGTATTTTGGCCGGAGCCAGTAGGAGCGAGCATCTGCTTTATTTGGTCGACACTCCCGAGTTCCTCAACACCAAACTTTGAAAACAGGCTGTTGGCAGTGCTGAACATCCACTCATCAGCATGAGTGTAGATCTCGAGCCGGTCTTCAAAATATCTTGTTTGGTCAAAGATAACCTCCTCTGGCTGCGCTTGTGTATCGGCAATTGACTCTCGCGCTCGTATACGCTTGCTCTTTGTTCTCCCTCCGTCTGTCGGTTCCTCATTGACTATTGAAGCCGAAGACCGTTTCCTTGTTTGGGGGCCCGGCCTCGCTTCCGTCTCATCGACTAGTTCATTCGGTTTCTCCGTCTCTTCTCTGTCCTTGTCGACCGTCTTCTCGTCTTCTTGTTCTTTATTGGTGTCACCGTCAGTCTTTCCATCGGCTTTTTCATCCTCTTTAGGGTCGGTGTTTTCGTCAGCCGTTGGCATAGACTCATTCGCCGTGTTTTCTTCGGGATCACCCGAATCTGCTATTATGGAGTTCCTATGCTTAGACGACCTACGGCCTTGTATAATTGGAAGAGTTGCCGCAGGTGAGGTCATCGCGACATCTGAATCTGGCAGGCAAATTTTCATGGTCCCCTGCACCCCGACAGTGTCCTGGCCTAGGCCATCTCCGCTCAGCAGCTCGAGGATCTTTTCACCTAGTGCTGCCCAGCTGTTGGTGGTCGGGGTGATGGTATGATGTTTTGTAGCTGGAAGGCCCAGTCTACAGGAAATAGAGCCACCATTCAACTGCTTTAAAGCAGAAGGGAGATATGGGAATGGATCTATCTGTCTCTGCAAAAAATTAAGCAGAGCTCGCCTCGGCTGTTTATGCGGAAGCTGTGCGAGCGAGACCGGGTCGTGGAGAGCAGTAAAGAATTTCCGTAAGTCGCCTACAGCCCCAGCTTGCTCGATTCCCAGTTGCTCAAAGCCATCATCTATACCGTCCCCGTTCCCTTCAAAGACACTCTCCAGGCAGAATCTCAAGATCCGGTGGCTTCTCAAGGCATCTCCAACCCTAGCACACTTCCTCCAGAGCTCAAGGTCAGAATCATCGCGCTCCAGTGCATCCGCAAAGTGTCTGATAGCTGATTCAGTAGAAGACGCCGTATCAGCCAAGTCTCCGCCTTGCTCCCAGGCATATCTAACCGTGTCGAGCAAGAACTGGCCATAGTTTTTATATGACAAATATAATGTTTGTGGTAGAGCACTAGCAGCGGTTTCTGCTTCATCCGCGGCAGCAATTGACACAGCAGATGGCCCGTCAACTTCTTCTATATATTCGTCTTCTGATATGGCGGCTCCCAGGTCTGCGTATTGCGGAAACTTGAATATCTCCGACTTGAAGAGCGCGTCATACGCTTCTGCGGCTTCTTTGTAATGCTTTGGCCCTTGAGAATGAAGTTTGAGCGCAGTTTGGTATAGCTTAAGGGCTTCTTCTATTTGAATCTCGCGTGTGTCATCGATTTCCTCCTCTGGGGTCTCATCTGCCTCTATATTCAGAGCTGCAAAAGTAGACATGGTCAGCCTGACCAGCTATGTCTCCAGGGTATAAAGGATACGATATAGAGCAGCGGATTAAAGTGAGGCTATTGTGAGGGGAGTTGTGAGTGTTATCAACACAGAGACCATGATAACCGGAGTTGTTGATATTAAGTCAGGAGTTTGCAGAGAAGAAGCTTGGGTTGTCGCGAACTTCCCAATCAGGCATGGTACAGAACGTGAATGCGTAAGAGAAGCCAAAAGCAACAACGGCCACTTTTTATTTGAAGCAGTTCAATATTAAGCCATCTTTCTGTTAAGTCCAGCTTCATTATGTCTTTTTAATCAATTTACTGTACTGGAGAAATTCATTCAATTCTGCTGCTCAAGCGTCCATTTCTCTTTATTTCTTGTTCAGCATTCAGGTAACTAGGCGATAGCTATGGTTTCGCCAGCTGTTCCGGAGTAAGTGGCATTGCTTTGACCAGCTTTCATGCTAAGCTTTCTTTCAGTTGAGCTATCACCCATTATCCTACTATGGGAATGACATCCAGGAGTGTTTCTATGGCTTATATGTTAACAATGATTGCATCGAAACAGGCTGATCGAGGAAGATGACACTCTCTATTCTTCCATAGATGCCCGCACCGAATCCCTACAGAACCTGAGAGAACTTGGCCCTCCAGATCTTGTTCACCTGGTGAAGCAGTCGAAATCTGCTCCAAATAGTCAGGTTTGATGTGCCACTCCTTATTAGCTGTGGCTGCCTTCTTGCTGGGCCCTTTTTCACTAATAACGTGATCGAGTCTTAGACCGGAGTCTACCACCATGTAACGGGCGTAGATGCGTCCTCATCTGCCAGTTTAGCGGCATACGTGAATACTCTTACCTACTCACCGGTTGACAAACAACATAAAGTGGTTGCGGGAATATACTGGTGCGCATCTACAGCTCCCTCGATGATACGATATAAACGCTGACCTACCCCGAAAGCTGCTACAATGCATTCTCTCATGTAGATATGAGAGTTGAAGTGAAGATTCCCGGCAGTTTGGAGAGCTACTGCATCGATGAGCGAGGAGATAAACGTGTCGCAACCGAAGCATTATGGCTAGAGACATTCGTGTGTGGTGTGCTCAGATCATATTCTTACGCAGATGACGGGAGTGGGGATGCTATTAAGAAGATTGTGGGTGTGAGGAGATTCAATCCCATCACGAACACTGAGATGGAACACAAATTCTTAGATGCTGCGGAGAAGCTCTTTTTCAACGGTTCGATAACCTGCGCATTTCTGTCGTTGTGTGTCCATGCTGCTAACGATTCCCCCATTAATAGGCCGACAACTTAGCTCTGACCCCGAAACACAGGTTCCTAACACCGTCACTAACCACCTTACCGCCGGTCTTTTGAAATATATCAATACCACTGGGCGATACGTATCTGGAATTAATCTTTTCGAAAAGCTCCGAGCTCGGGAAGTAGAGGTTTCGTCACTTCTTGCGCGTGTTCTGATATCTGCGGATGAGGAAGTGCAGGCAGTCCGGTTAATGCATGATGCTCTCAAGGACATTCCAATGGACTATGCGCTTTTAGATTGCCAGGCGGCATTCTGCCAGAGTAAAGGTGAGCATGAAATGGCACTCGAATGCGCAAAACGCAGTGTGACCGCAGCACCAAGCGAGTTCAGTTCCTGGATCCGTCTAGCAGAGGTATATGTCAGTCTTGAGAAATGGGACCTGGCTCTACTAACGTTGAACTCCTGTCCCATGTTCAACTACCAGGATCGAGACTCTCCACGGATGCCACAACCATCCCGCATAATTCTTCCAGTCCTTCCTGAAAGCATGCTGGACGAGATTGATGAAGGTCAGCCCAAAGAAGGCGGGCCCCATGACATGGTACATCCTACACTGCGGAAACTCCATGCAGGAAATTATCAGGGTACATTCCTCAAAGCATATAGTCTGTTGACTAAGATAGCTGCGAGCATTGGGTGGGATCAGCTTCTGAAAATCAGAAGTGAAGTGTTCGTCATGGAGGAAGAGTATAGGGTTGAACGGCAGACGGCAGCACGGCCAGGAAGCAACACTCACAATGCCAGCACGGTAGCTCTACATGACGGCGCAAGTGAAGCGACCGGGACTGAAGACGATGGGAAGTCTGAAAACGGTAACGGGAACGGGAGTGATGAAACGTCCGAGCAAAACGGGAATGGGGAGGGCGAACCCAAAAAATCCTCTGAACACCATGGAATCGAAAGGCCTAATCAGACTATGGCTTCAGAGGTTGTCAAGTCTGGCAATGACGACGTATGCCCTTCTACTGTTAAATTATACGCTTTTCGATGTACTAACTGGAAAACCAGCAGGAAAACTCCCACTCCTACTCTCAATTCCACAACAAACGCCTCTGTGAGCGCTGGCTAGATAACCTATTTATGGTCCTCTATGAAGACCTGCGCGTCTATACCATCTGGCGTTCTGAGATGGCGCAGTCCCGTCAACAGTCACTCGACTATAAGAAATCTCCATCAGAATGGGAGATACTCGGGGAGCTTGCGGAGCGACTCCATCACCTACCGGAGGCAATCGAGGCATATAAATACTGTCTATCCGTCCGATTTTCTCCAAAGGCGCTGAAAGGCATCCTGAAGCTATATGAACGACAGAACGATACAAGAGGAATGCTGAACGCGTTGATCAGGTTGATCGCGTGGCAATATAGGTGGTACTCTGAAGTATGTCCTACATATCTTAACTATTCTTGCTATATCAGGATAGCTAACTTGTAAACCCAGTTCTCGCCTGAACTCTTATATATCATCCGCAAACTGATCGAGGAAGAAGGCGCCGTCAAGGTGCGCAGTATCGTACAAGCAACCAACCTCCCCCAGCCAATACTGGATCTCACCCATCAATACTGCCAGCTCTGTGCAACGTTTAGAAGCAGTGGAAGCGACGGCTAGATTGGCCATGACGCCTATACATGCACAAGGACCCCCCCTGGGCGTATCTGAATAGGGAGAAGAGATACCTGTCTGCATTGAATTAGCCTGTCCTCCTAAACCAAGCTAGGTATGAAAAGTAAGATACGATGATATTTAAAAGTCCGCCGTATTCTCTCTCTCTCATCCTCGCTGGAATGCAGCCCCTGATGCAACTTCTACCTAACCAACCTATCGAGATCTCATTGGCCATGCAAGGCCATAGTAAGAAAAAATAAATAAAATGCCACGGCAGAGGTGTGGGGCGATATAAATCCGTACTCGAATTAAATCTTGTAAATATAGAAATCGGTTATTTTATTTTTGTTCGTTTCTCTTCATTCGTTTTCTTTCTCTTGACGTTGGAAGTCCATGAAGTCCGTGTATGGGCATTATGACGTCTTGCCATGATCAAGACAGTATGATTAAAGACAAGTTTAAGAGAACCTGAATACAAAGAGCCCATATCAAAAAGATACCCAGTGTCGCGTGCCTCAGAAAAAAAAGTGAGATCTGCTTTGACGGTTATGCGAGTTTCCACGTCTATCTTTTTTGTTTTCAAGTAAATTTCATGATATCCGGGTCCAGTTTTACCATTCCATATTCTCGTACAAATGAATATCTTTGTTATATCCTTTATTCTTCTTCTTCCTCTTCACCTGCTTTCTTAGCCGAGGCAGCCTTCTCAGCCTCCTCGTCGTCTTCTTCGCCATCACCATCCTTCTCTTCATCATCTCCTTCTTCCTCTTCCTTTCCCTCGTCCCCTTCTTCTTCTCCCTGTTCTTCCTCTTCCTCTTCCTCCTCCTCTTCTTCCTCATCATCGTCTACAGGAGCCTTTTTTGCCGAAGTTCGAGAGGTTTTACGTCGTTTAGCTGATGCTGTTGAAAATACTCGGGTTAGCATACGTGTTTTGTCCTTCCGGCAACAGAGGTGGATGACTTGAATGAAGAAAAAGGTGCGTTAAAGAGTATCAAGATGATGTAACGTACGCTCTGGCTCTTCAGCAGGCTCTTCATCTTCGTTATCCTCTGAATCCTCTCCTTCGAAATCAGATTCGTCATCAAACCTAAGCAGGATCAAGATGTCAGCATCGATGCCACATTCACACTACAGTTCTACCTAACGGCAACGTCCACCACCCCCCCGCCACCATCTGGGGAAAGGCAGAGGGCAAAAGACTTACTCTTCCTCCTCCTCCTCGTCACTCTGGTCACTTGGAAGGGCCTGGAGCTCCTCCTCTTCACCGGCTTCTTGTCTTCTCTTACGCGTGGTCATTGTGGGTGTCAATTGAGTGTTTTGTAAGACAGATTTCGTTCAAGACAAGGCTGTCATCCAGTTAACGATCTATAAGTCGTCGAAGGAGGGGGGAAGTTTTTTTGTCAACATCAACCTCGACGGGGCCATACCTGTGCACTTCGGGCGCGAGTTCAGGATCAGTGAGCATAAGAACAGCGCGAGATACGGGGAAGAAAGAGAAGAAAGGAGAAGAAAAAAGGGCGAAAGGGAAGAAAGACGTAAAAGCTCTCGAAAGAAGGGGGAAGCGTCGTCGAGCTTACGTGACGTTACCGACCAGCCTTGTATCGTCCCATACGCTGCCTGGTATTACAGGGTATCTGCCCGCAAAAAGGCGTCGAGCCGACCCATGGCATGCTGTAAATATGATGCGTAACAATACCTCATCTGTCAGCTCTTGGGTAAGAGGAGGTATTTTGCTGCTAAATTTATATGATGAGGTACATGCAGTTACCTCGGTTTGTAACAAATACCATACTGTATATTTTGTTTGTATTTCTGATACGCGTCACTTCTCGCATCAAGAAGAGAAGAAGATGCTCAAAGTCGCCTCTCAGGGATAGATGTTTGGGTGGTGACTTCGTATAAATTGAATATAAGCATAGGTACAGGCAAAGCATTGCAAGGCTGCAGGGATTAATCTCGTATGCATGTTTGCTCGACATGTCGATATATTTGATTTTCGCCTGATCTTTCGCGAGTATATCAAAATGTCAGCTTATGTCGGATTCAACGTGTTTAAAATATCTGATTGACATCCTAGCTACCCTAGTTGATTTCTCAAGGCCTGCGATATCATGTGTGTGCTACGCTGATCAAACAATGTATCTTTATTCCTTTGAGGTGGAATGCAGGACGTATTTCTAGAGGTTTGAAGTTATGTAACTGCAGGTCAAATTGATTGAGAATGACACTGTTGCCTTGGAATATGAAAGAGAGGAACCAGACTACTTACCTGCACCGTAGTTATATTCTACGCATCGTGATACCTAATATACAAGGTGGGTTCAAGCCATGATCAAAGAGCTACATTGTGTATCCTACGTAAATTGAATATCTACAAACATTGATCACTCCGCACCCTTTCTATCCTGGATTCTCTGCATATGCTGTTCAAACTTCTCCCGGCGCCAACTACATGTTTCGTTAAAGTCGCATGTCCGACACTTCCAGGCCTGGGAGACGGGAATGCCTTGTGCAGGCCTCCTGCCTCGCCACCAGCTGATACCATGGGCTAGATAGGGGTATAATGACTGCGGATCAAAGACGAACGACTGTGTGCCTTGGGGTATGTACCCGTGTCCCTGCTGCGTAGGGGTTGGCGTGTCTTCATCTGCTTCCACACCTGCATCCGTGGCTGTGTCTGTCTCCGTCTCTGTAGCTGGGGATGGAGAGCGGGAGTTTGGCCTTTTCTGGCCGGGAGACATGTATGCTACTGTTAATAAGGGTGAGAGGAGAGTTGTTTGTGTCTGACCCTGGTCCTGGGTCGGTGCTCTGGGTTGAACATCTGGAGATTGAAGAAAGGTAAGTCTGAGGTTCTCCTTGAGCAGATCCCAGAGGTTAGAAAGGGAGTTGTGATTAAGCAGTACGGTCAACGAGTCCTGTCGAGCCGTACTCGCGTCCGAACTGGACGGAGCATCATCAGCATCGTCGGACTGGCTCTGCGTCCACGAACAGGCTTCGGTATCGAAGTAGTCGTCGTTGATACTGCCTACTTGGGCCAGGAAGGCATCTGATAGCGGTGCATGGGGTTTCAGCGAGTATCTCTCCGCAATGTCATGGATAGTTATATCATCCGAGTCAATCAGGCGGGAAAGCAGATGGTGATAAAGCTGCAGCTGCATCCGCGCAGGTTTGAACGACGGGCTCTCAACACCCGGCAGACCACGGCCGCTCGCAAGCCTGGTCTTGACATCTGTAAGATAAATGCCGCCGCCGCTGCTCAACACACTGCCTGATCTTCTTTCTTCTTCCCCATCAAGAGGGCAGAACGAATACTCTTCCGAGCCCCCCCTCTTAACAAGACGTCTGGTCGACCGAACGCCCGAATCCGTCTTATCCGCAATCGAGTCTCGTAGTTCTGGATCCGGACACTCAAAGGAAAGCAAATCAATCACGCCCGTGACTATCTCTCCGTCCAGTACACCCCATACCTCCATCTCTCGCGTCAGGCCAGTATCCCGCAGCGTCCGAAGGCCGTAGATAACGTTCCATATGCGTAGGGCCCAGACATCTTCCCTGGACACGACGGCGACGGGCACGGAGGCATGTACTTCGTTCTCTAGTATTCTATGCACGACGGTCCCGCGCTTCATGGCGGGCGTCCTCTTCCTCCGATCGGGTTCAGCCAGGGAGTAGAAGAACTGCATCTCGCACCAGGAGGGGGCAACGAGGTCAGATACCGACAGGCCCTTTTTGGGCGGTCGTCTGAAGCGTTCGAGAGGCGAGGAGGTATGCTGCTCCTGCGGAGGGTTCTCTCCCTCCTTTTCAACGCTGGGTTCTATATTACGCTGCGGAAACAGCTTCTTGTACCGTTGGCTTGTCTCTGTAGCCAAACGCTTCGTCAGCCAGCCGTGCTCATGTCAGTATGAAGGAGAAGCGAGATAGAGGCAGAGAGATGGCAGGCTTACCGCTCCATGGACACTCCTCGAACGAGCCAGGTTGAGAACCCGCCTCTCCCAGCGCCAGACGCAGGTATTCATGGTCTTCTATATCAGGTACGGGCGAGGACGGCTGGTCTATGTCCGTCTGTGTCTCTGCATCCTCGTCTGCGCCATACTTATCGGTGACAGACGCGATAAGATCACTGAGCAGCAGCGCTTCGTCGGGCGAGAAGTCTGCCTCGCCGTCGTCACTGTCACTATCGCTAGTCCAGCCGTCGAGAAACTCGAACTCGCCGTGTTCTTGGGAGGAAGACATGCAAGTATTGTTGTGGCTGCATGGGCATCCATCCTGATATTTCTATAGTTACACTTTACCCGCCCCATATACAAGCCATCCATCTATCATCTATAATAACGTCTATAAGAATACGTCTATACGAGATTATATCTGTGAAGCGAAAACTACGCAAGCATCTTGCCTTCCATCTTCTCCGCCGTCTCTCTGGCAGCCATCTGATTCAGCCAGGAGAGATAGGTCTGCCACCCCAGCGCGATGGTGCCGGCGAATATCGCCCTAAACGCCGGATCGATGTACAAGAACATAAACGCGGATACGGCAGGCCATATCTTTGCGCTGTTAACGATACTTACGGGCAACGTCCGCTGGAGGCGCTGCAGTGTCTCGTCCCATCCCGCGCCCGAGAGCAGCGACTGAGCAGAGAAGAAGTAGACGTTGAAGACGGGCGCGTAGACGAGCTGTGAGAGAGCGACTTTTGTGAAGATCGAGAGGAATTTCGAGGCGTAGTTGAAGTTGTTGTGTACGAACATGAACCTATCTCGTTAGCATAGGGCGTGGGAGTGGGAGTAGGAGTGGGAGTACCATGTATAGCTCGGTATAGCGACGAACCCGCCTATGCTGACGTGTCGTATGGTGCGGACGGGATCGTACTTGTCCCATATACTAGTGGTAGAGGTGCTGGGGGAGTCGGCATCTTCGTCGTGGGTGATCCAGGGGACGAGCAGCTGGGCGCTAAAGTCGGAGAGAAGGAAGATGATGACGGTGCTCCAGAACTGGGTCCAGTAGGGTCTCTTCTTCTGCTTGTCGCCGTACCAGAGCAGGGCGCGGCCGAGGGGGGAGGCCTGGATGCGCGAGAAGAGGGTCGGTACTGATAGTGATGCTGGTGCTGGTGCGGGTGCTGGTGCTGGTGCTGGTGCGGGTGCTGGTGCTGCTGATGGTGATGGTGATGGTGATGGTGATGCTGGTGCGGGTGCTGATGGTGATGGTGATGCTGATGCTGACGCTGATGCTGATGCTGGTGCAGTGTCTGTCTTTCTGGGTTCCGCGAGCAGGACAGACCTGCTGAAGGCGCGTGACTGGCGGGCAAAAGCCAGAAGCCGTAGCCGTTGGCGTATCATCTTGTGCTGCTCATGTTGTTGTGAGTCGAGTGAAAAAATGGAAAACCACCCGGAATAACCCGAGTCAGCCGCGCGTTACTGAATACAAGTGACACGTTACGAGCAGAGGTAGACGCAGAAGTCAAGTCGATTAAGATCAGGCTACGTCCTCAGCCACCATGTATCAGGCAGACTGGATATTATACACAGCAGTAGTTAAGAGAAACAGAAAAGAAACAGGTTAAAAACGCCGCTGACCAAACCCATTTGTCCGTGCCACAGAAAACAAGTTTAAAAACATGAACCCCCAGACCGTGTCATAAGAAGAGTGATTGAAAAGGAATCTAAGAACGCTCGCCGCGCAGACGACGGGCGAGGTGGATGTCCTTCTGCTGGATGGTGACACGGCGGGCGTGGATGGCGCAGAGGTTGGTGTCTTCGAAGAGGGAGACGAGGTAGGCCTCGACGGACTCCTGGAGAGCACCGATGGCAGAGGACTGGAAGCGGAGATCGGTCTTGAAGTCCTGGGAGATTTCACGGACGAGACGCTGGAAGGGGAGCTTGCGGATGAGCAGCTCGGTGGACTTCTGGTAGCGACGAATCTCACGGAGGGCGACGGTTCCTGCGCACGTCAGCATACATATATATATATATATATACATATAAGAGACAAACCTGGCTTGTAGCGGCGGGACTTCTTGACACCTCCGGTGGTTGGGGCGGCCTTGCGGGCGGCCTTGGAAGCGATGTGCTTGCGAGGGACCTTGCCTCCGGTGGATTTACCTGCGATGGGTCAGTGAGGTCGGGCGGGCAGCGAAGTCAGGACACGTACGGGCAGTCTGCTTGGTTCTGGCCATTTTGACAGTTGGTTCTCACTGAGATGTAGAAGTAGAGTGGAAGTAGAGCTGAAGTGGACGAGCTGATGCTGGCGATGATGTTGTGGATGAAGAAAAACGAGGCTTTGAGGGGAAGAAAAGAAGTATTTGTAGGCAGAAGCTTGGCGGGTGCGATGACATAAGCAGCCGGTTGATCTCAGCAAGAAGTTGATCTCAGCGGTTGATGAAGAAGTGATCTGGAGGCTGATCTGGGGCTGCGCGGGCGGGCGAGCCGGTGAGGCCGTCGACGGGCGACAGAGACGGCCTTCTCTGCCCTTTTGCCCTGCTGGATCAGCTTCTTCCTCGCCGTCGTCGCCTTCATCTCCGTCTTCTTCGTCGTCTTCGTCTTCATCAACTCGCTTGATCTGGTTGATCTGCTTAGTGATCCTGATCCTCGACGCTGATTGGCTGCCTGCCAGATCAACCACGACGCGCCAGAAGTAGAAAAGACTCACTCACTCACACTCACACACACTCTACAGACACTCACACTCACACACATACACACTCATACTACATCTACTCATACTACATCTACTCATACTACATCTACTACATCTCACCAACATGACTGGACGTAAGTGCACTGCTTCCGTAGACCAGACACACGCTGACAGCAGCAGGCGGCAAGGGAGGAAAGGGACTCGGCAAAGGAGGTGCCAAACGCCATCGCAAGATCCTCCGCGACAACATCCACGGCATCACCAAGCCGGCCATCCGTCGTCTCGCCCGTCGTGGCGGTGTCAAGCGTATCTCTGCCATGATCTACGGCGAGACCCGCAACGTCCTCAAGTCCTTCCTCGAGTCTGTCATCCGTGACGCCGTCACCTACACCGAGCACGCCAAGCGCAAGACAGTCACCTCCCTCGACGTCGTCTACGCTCTCAAGCGCCAGGGCCGTAAGTCGATCCTCTTCTCCTGTATCCATTACGTACTGACTGGTCCAGGCACCCTCTATGGTTTCGGTGGTTAGATGCATTTATGACGGGCTGGGTTTCTTCATATTACGGGGTTAAATCGGTTCTGGGGTTTCTGCTTGTTTCTTCTTCTCTTGCTTTTAATGGAGTCTGTATTATACTCGCCTAGGCGGTTATGACTGCCGGCTGCTGCGCTGGCCAATATGAAATATACCATTTTTCATTACTTCAGATACTTCAAATCTTTTCCTCTTCAGGTAGAGAAAACATTGCTTTTTCCTGGATACTGACTGGTCACGCCCTCAGACACGGTGTAACGTCTTTCTTTTTTATCCTGTCTTCTTTTTTTGTCTTCTTTCATCCTGTCTTTGTCGTCTTCATCGACCAAGCGAGTCGATGTCTTGTCTCTCGTTTATTCACTCGCTCGACCACGCTCGTTTCACGCTGTTTCAGGGCCCGTTTCACGCTCTGCTCTGCTCTGCTCCTCTTCTCTCGCTCGAGGAGGTGGATGTGGACCTGGGAATTTAATCTAATTCCCTGCTCGCCTCAAAAAAGCTCGCTTCCATAGGGGCTTTATTTATATTAACCTGGCGGCCTTTTATACGGAGGACCCCCGAGACACATCCTCAGTGAGCAGACGAATACCTGGTGAAAAGAGAAGACAGGAAGATGCAGTCTCGCTCAGCGTCAAGAGGGAGCCAGTATATTCGCGGTACCAGGCCAAAGGACCGCCAGCATACCCAGGACCAGACGCAGCAGACGCAGGAGGGAGTCTACCAGGGCTACTACGACCTCAACTCCCCCGAGCACCGCCAGGCGAGATACTACAGCCAGGACGGCCAGAGGAAGACCGCAGACGGACAGTTTCAGGCCTACTCGCCCGGTGCGAGTCTTAGCAACATCAGCAACATCAGCAGCAACAACATCAGCGACGAGCTGCCGGAGGATGAGCCCGTCTATCTGCCTTCCATCGGCAGCTTCCAGTCGCTGCACTCGCTCGTCAACAACCTGCCTACCCCTGGTGCGGTAGACAGACAGGCCTCCGTCTCTGCTGCCTCGACCGCCGCCTCGTCTGCTGCCTCGACCTTCAGGAGCGACACTTTCTCCTTTTCCAATGGCAGGCCGCTTGCGTCCCGCAGCAACTCCAGTCTCGACAGGCCGGCCTCTGTCGCTGTCGGTGGCGGTTCCGCTGCTGGTATCCGACAGGCTCGTACGGTTGCTGCTCGCCCGATGTCGTCTGCGGCCAGAAACGAGTCGTTTCACTCGAACTCGAGTCCGGTAGACCGTCAGGCGTACCAGGCCGTCTCAGCTGTTCGAAGGGCCACTGCTGCTCCCCGACCAATCTGTACGGCCGTCAGGAAGGACTCGTACCATGCCTATTCCAACTCGAGCCCGGTGGCCGCCAGCCCAGCAGCTGCCAGCCCTGCCGCATCGGCCAGCTCCTCCAGCCTCGACCAGGGTCAGGCCGTCAATGGACAAATGCAACAGCCTGTCATTCCGGCTCCCACGCGACGTCCTCCTTCTCCTCCCCCTGCGTCCGCTAGTGCTGTCGCAGCTGCTGTCACCACTGCTGTCACGGCTGCTGTCACGGCTCCTGTCACCGCCGCTGTCTCTCCCGCCGCTCGACCGAGACCCGCGGCTATAAGGAACGAGGCCTACCATGCGTTCTCCAGCTCTAGTCCGGCCACTGCCGTCCCGGTACCAGCTCCGTCCAGCTCTACCAGCCCAGATTGCCAGGTTCCCCCTGGCCCGGCATCTGCAGCTCCAACTCCGACTCTACGACCAACTATTTCTACCGCTGCTCGGCCCATGTCTGCTGCTGCTGGGAATATCAACAACAAGTCGTACCACGCCTACTCCAGTTCCAATCCAGTTGCTTCAGCTAGCTCCGCCAGTCTAGACAGGCTCCCTCCTGCTGCTGGTGCTGGTGCTGCTGTTGCTCGTCGACCGTCCGCCATGGCTGCCAGAAGTCATTCGTACTACGGTGCCACCTGCACCACTCCTGTTCTTGGTCCTGCTGCTCCCACTACTACTACTACTACTACTACCACTATGGCGATTCCTGCTGCCATCCCTGCTGTGACCCCTGTTGTGCAGAATCTAGCTGCGTCCGCAAGTACGTCAAGCCTCGACCGCCAGATCCCTGTTGCTCAACGATCGGCTTCTATGGCTGCCAACCCTCGTCCGGCCACTGCTGCGGTTACTCGCAGGGCTACTTCGCACGCTACTCTTCCCAGACCCGCCTCTGCAGTCGCCGGGCCTACGTCATACTACGGCAACGCCGGTCCGGGGTTGGTAGCTCGACGAAACACCATCGTCTTTGATGGACAGCAGCAACAGCCCCAGACGCAAGGACAGTCGCAACAAGGGGCGCAAGGGCAGACGGGAGCAGAACAGGCCACCAGGCCGCCTCGTTTCTATGCCATGCTACGTGCCTCAATGGTCGTCCCAGACAGCGTGCAGATCCCTACCGTCGAAGAGAGACAGCTGCCAGCCGCCAGCGCCAGTCTGTCTACGGACCCCAGCCCCGACCACGCTCCAGTCGCCGCTCCCAGTGGCC